TGTGTTTATTGTAATGGACGTTGATATGTTGTGTGTTTATCGTAATGGACGTTGATATGTTGTGTGTTTATCGTAATGAACGTTGGTATGTTGTGTGTTTATCGTAATGAACGTTGGTATGTTGTATTTTTATCGTAATGAACGTTGGTATGTTTCGTGTTTAAACGTAATGAACGCTGGTATGTTGTATGTTTATCGTAATGAACGTTGGTATGTTTCGTGTTTAAACGTAATGAACGTTGGTATGTTTCGTGTTTATCGTAATGAACGTAGGTATGTTGTGTGTTTATCGTAATGAACGTTGGTATGTTGTGGGTTTATCGTAATGCACGTTGGTATGTTGTGTGTTTATCGTAATGAACATTGGTATGTTGTGTGTTTATCGTAATGCACGTTGGTCTTTTGTGTGTTTATCGTAATGAACGTTGGTATGTTGTATGTTTATCGTAATGCACGTTGGTATGTTGTGTGTTTATCGTAATGAACATTGGTATGTTGTGTGTTTATCGTAATGCACGTTGGTATGTTGTATGTTTATTGTAATGGATGTTGATATGTTGTGTGTTTATCGTAATGAACGTTGGTATGTTGTATTTTTATCGTAATGAACGTTGGTATGTTGTATGTTTATCGTAATGGACGTTGGTTTGTTGTGTGTTTATCGTAATGCACGTTGGTATGTTGTGTGTTTATCGTAATGGACGTTGATGTGTTGTATTTTTATCGTAATGCACGTTGGTATGTTGTGTTTATCGTAATGAACATTGGTATGTTGTGTGTTTATCGTAATGCACGTTGGTATGTTGTGTGTTTATCGTAATGAAGGTCGTTATGTTGTATGTTTATCGTAATGGACGTTGGTTTGTTGTGTGTTTATCGTAATGGACGTTGATATGTTGTATGTTTATCGTAATGGACGTAGGTATTTTGTGTGTTTATCGTAATGGACGTTGATATGTTGTATTTTTATCGTAATGGACGTTGGTATGTTGTGTGTTTATCGTAATGCACGTTGGTATGTTGTGTGTTTATTGTAATGGACGTTGATATGATGTGTGTTTATCGTAAAGAACGTTGGTATGTTGTATGTTTATCGTAATGCACGTTGGTATGTTGTGTGTTTATCGTAATGCACGTTGGGTTGTTGTGTGTTTATCAAAATGAACGTTGGTATGTTGTATGTTTATCGCAATGCACGTTGGTATGTTGTATGTTTATCGTAATGCATGTTGGTATGTTGTATGTTTATCGTAATGGACGTTGGTATGTTGTGTGTTTATCGTAATGCACGTTGGTTTGTTGTGTGTTTATCGTAATGAACGTTGTTATGTTGTTTGTTTATCGAAATGAACGTTGGTATGTTGTGTGTTTATCGTAATGAAGGTTGTTATGTTTATCGTAATGGACGTTGTTATGTTGTATGTTTATCGTAATGGACGTTGGTATGTTGTGTGTTTATCGTAATGCACGTTGGTTTGTTGTGTGTTTATCAAAATGAACGTTGGTATGTTGTATGTTTATCGTAATGAACGTTGATATGCTGTGTGTTTATCGAAATGGACGTTGATATGTTGTGTGTTTATCGTAATGAACGTTGGTATGTTTCGTGTTTATTGTAATGAACGTTGGTATGTTGTGAGTTTTTCGTAATGAACGTTGGTATGTTGTGTGTTTATCGTAATGCACGTTGGTATATTGTGTGTTTATCGTAATGAACGTTGGTATAATGTGTGTTTATCGTAATGGACGTTGGTATGATGTGTGTTTATCGTAATGAAGGTTGTTATGTTGTATGTTTATCGTAATTGACGTTGGTTTGTTGTGTGTTTATCGTAATGGACGTTGGTTTGTTGTGTGTTTATCGTAATGGACATTGGTATATTGTGTATTTATCGTAATGGACTTTGGTTTGTTTGGTGTTTATCGTAATGGACGTTGATATGTTGTATGTTTATCGTAATGCACGTTGGTATGTTTTTTGTTTATCGTAATGAACGTTGGTATGTTGTATGTTTATCGTAATGGACGTTGGTATGTTTTGTGTTTATCGTAATGGACGTTGGTTTGATGTGTGTTTATCGTAATGTGCGTTGGTATGTTTTATGTTTATCGTAATGAACGTTGGTATGTTCTATTTTTATCGAAATGGACGTTGGTATGTTGTATTTTTATCGTAATGGACGTTGGTATGTTGTGTGTTTAACGTAATGAACGTTGTTATGTTGTGTGTTTATCGTAATGAACGTTTGTATGTTTGGTGTTTATCGTGGATGTATTGAGCGTTGGTATGTTGTATGTTTATCGTAATGAACGTAGGTATGTTGTGTCCTTATCGTAATGAACGTTGATATGTTGTGTCCTTATCGTAATGAACGTTGTTATGTTGTGTTTTTATCGTAATGAACCTTGGTATGTTTGGTGTTTATCGTGCATGTAATGAACGTTGATATGTTGTATGTTTATCGTAATGCTCGTTGGTATGTTGTATGTTTATCGTAATGCACGTTGGTATGTTGTGTGTTTATCGTAATGAACATTGGTATTTTGTGTGTTTATCGTAATGGACGTTGATATGTTGTGTGTTTATCGTAATGGACGTTGGTATGTTGTGTGATTATCGTAATTCACGTTGGTATGTTGTGTCCTTATCGTAATGAACGTTGATATGTTGTGTGTTTATCGTAATGAACGTTGGTATGTTGTGTGTTTATCGTAATGCACGTTGGTATGTTGTATGTTTATCGAAATGGACGTAGGTATGTTGTGTCCTTATCGTAATGAACGTTGATATGTTTTGTGTTTATCGTAATAAACGTTGATATGTTGTGTGTTTATTGTAATGCACGTTGGTATGTTGTGTCCTTATCGTAATTAACGTTGATATGTTTTGTGTTTATCGCAATGGACGTTGATATGTGGTGTGTTTATTGTAATAAACGTTGGTATGTTGTGTGTTTATCGTAATGGACGTTTATATGTTGTGTGTTTATCGTAATGAAGGTTGTTATGTTGTATGTTTATCGTAATTGACGTTGGTTTGTTGTGTGTTTATCGTAATGCACCTTGGTATGTTGTGTGTTTATCGTAATGGACGTTTATATGTTGTGTGTTTATCGTAATGGACGTTGATATGTGGTGTGTTTATTGTAATAAACGTTGGTATGTTGTGTGTGTATTGTAATGAACATTGGTATTTTGTGTGTTTATCGTGTTGTGTGTTTATCGTAATGGACGTTTATATGTTGTGTGTTTATCGTAATGGACGTTGATATGTGGTGTGTTTATTGTAATAAACGTTGGTATGTTGTGTGTTTATTGTAATGAACATTGGTATTTTGTGTGTTTATCGTAATGAACGTTGGTATGTTGTGTGTTTATCGTAATGGACGTTTATATGTTGTGTGTTTATCGTAATGAACGTTGGTATACTGTATGTGTATCTTAATGAACAGCTTGGGTACATTTTGTTTCTCTGACTCTTCGACTTAAAATATGTTTTGAGTATGATGACAACAACAACAAGAACTGAAAACATGGTTATTAACTGAACTTTATGCATAGTTTACCTAATATTTCACAGGTTTGGTTAGAGGCAGCTATTCAGATGTTCTATTCACTGGGTCCAGCCTGGGGTCCCATTGTAACACTAGCCAGTTACAACAAATTCAACAACAATTGTTACCGGTAAGTAGACATGGTGGCGTTAATAGAAAGGTATGAAATACTTACGGCAAATAGTATTATGTTTAAATGAATAAAAACATTAAGACACTTCAGTTGCTGACATTATAATTACTTTTTGTTTTCCTTTTGTAAAGAGATGCTATCAAACTGACGTTGATTTGCGAGGGGACCAGCATTTTTGGAGGATTTGTAGTCTTTGCTGTGCTAGGCTATATAGCACATGACACAGGAAAGGACATATCAGAAGTAGTAACATCAGGTATATATAAATATGTATACAGAAAGGTAAGTAGTTACACAGGTATATTTGATTATATATATATATATACATGTACTTGTATAAGCACATAGGTAAGTAGTAAAAAGCATTAGGTAGATATAATTATATATACAGATCATAGTAACATTACATAATTATAATAAATATACACAGATAGATAATGATGTTTATTTATCAGATTTAAGCTCCTACATATACATAATTAACTCCTGTTTAATGCAGTTTAACATACATTCTTTTGTCGTTTGGTCTCCCCGTATTAAAAAATTATTCCGGCCCTTAATTATCATACTTGTCGATGGGCGCCTACATTCAAACAAACAAACAAACAGCGATAGGATACATCTTATAATGTATACACCTTAAAAGTACTTCTTGTAATATAAAAGTATTCCTTGTAATATAAAAGAAGGTATGTGCTAATTCAATTATGATATATCAATAGCAAAATTTTACAATTTATTGAATTAAAAGCACAGAACGTGTCTGAAGTCCGATTCAATGTTGAAGTGATGTTGGCAGCCCTTTTCTGTAGGACCAGGACTTGTTTTCATGACCTACCCAGAAGCGTTATCCAAGCTGCCTCTACCAAATCTCTGGTCGGTCCTGTTTTTCCTGATGATTCTTAGCGTTGGTTTAGATACTCAGGTAATATACCATTAATACAGTGATTAGACACTAACGTCAGCTGTGTTGTATTTGCTGCCGAGGAAACATTAAGTTTAATAGTGTAATCATTAATTCAGATAAAGCGTTATTGGAGATATCTGCATTTACTTTTTTTTCAAATAATAACACTTGAATTAGGACGCTAAAATCAATATGGCTATAGAAATGAAGCTGTAAATGTGACAAATACAACTTTGAATATGACGCTATCATGTGACTAATTTGATTTACATTCTATACGTAGATCTAGTATCCTGGTTTACTGTTTTACAATTTACAGTTTACTAATATGGAGACCATTGTAGCAGCCATAATAGACGAGTTTCCAGCTCTACATCGGAGGCGAGTCGTCGTGCACTTACTGTTATGTATAGGCTGGTTTCTGTTTGGACTGATTATGATTTCTCAGGTTAGTATAGACAAACAAAATATCACATATACTGCAACATACCAGCTGCCAACAGTTGTGGCACTGTAGCCTGTAATGACATAGACGCTAGATATCATATCAAATTAAATGATCTTATCAAGTTCAATAAATTCACAACGATTTCAATGAATCAATAACCTAAAATTACAATAGTAACTATCAAATTAAATAGAAATTAGAATGACATGTAATTTTTTCACATATCTTATTCAAGAAAATTAATTTAAAAAATAGCAAAGTCAATAAAACATCACATAATCAACAATTTCCATTTAACATTACTAACTTAATTCCATATAACATCACTTATCAAATCATGTCGATACAACATCAGTTATCAAATCATTTAAATATAACATCACTTATCGATTTATTTCAATATTGCATGACGTATTCAAGCGTTTCGCTATAACCTCATTCATTCAATTATTTCAATATAACATCAATAATTCACCAGTTACAATATAACATCAATTATTCACCAATTTCAATATAACATCAATAATTCACCAATTTCAATATTACATCGATCATTTTAAAAAATCGATAAAGTATCACAGATTCAACAGTTTCAATATATAATAAATGCTCTGACCGAATTCTTATTATAACGAGTGTTCTCTTTAAAGGGCGGGATGTACGTGATTTTTCTCCTCGACTGGTATATAGGACTTGTTATTCCCGTGTTCGGATTCCTTGAATGCGTTATCATAGGCTGGATATATGGTAGATATAATAGTGTATAAAATCATCCCTGATGCTTCTATTTATTCTGTATATACAATTCTTCTACTTACTACACATACACACTTCATGTTTCTTCCTTGACAATATATATATTTATATTGGTTAGGAGTTATATATCATTATATACCAAGCTGTAAATACTGTACATTTTATCATACATTGTATCTTGACCATATGTAAGATGAGCTTCATGCTCAATATGTTACAAGAATAAATAAAGCCTTTATTATTATATTATTATTATATATTATATTATATTATATATATATTATTATTATTAACCAAATGGAATGCGATCGAATCAATTAATTCCCTCTATGCAAATGTTTGGTTAACGATTGTTAATAACCCCTCATTAGATTGGAATCAATTTTATTGACACTATGTAAAAGTTTGGTAAAGGAGATTGTAATAAACACCGAGGAACCCTTTATTGACATTGTGCAAAGGTTTTGTATTTTTTTTCTTAATAAACGCTAATTAATTTGGAATCCCTTAATTGATAATGTGTAGAGGTTTGGTGAACGATTATTAGTAAACGCTGATTAAATTGTAATTTATTTAATTGACACTATGTAAATGTTTGGGAAAAGATTAATAATAACCGCTGATTTTATTAATTAACGAATCCATAAAGGAATACGGTTCTCCCGTGACGTCAGTATGATGATTGGCTATGGTATTCCCGTACTCATGCGGATAGCATTGTGCCTGATCGTGCCAGCTATGCTTTTGGTAAGTCAGATAGACGAATTTCCTTATTAAACAGTTGATGGTTGTAGTTAAGTTTTAAATATATTAATAATGTTCATATATCTTATATGACAGATAAAGAATAGCCCATTGTTTATGTTCCGTTGAATTATGATTAATTGAAAGGATATTGACAGTGAATGCACGTATTGTTTCGCTGTATTGTACATTATATGTCGACTGATAAGACCAGCGGTTTTGTTTCCTTTTTCACCTTTTTGTTGCTGGTACTAAGCGAAAAGGTGCCGTTATATTTTTTTAAACGGAGCCCATGACAAAGTGTAAAATGCCGTTTTATATTCCTTAACAGAAATCGTCGCGTCGACAAAGCAAAATATTGTCGCCATTTGACGTTGCAAAAAATACTATAAAAATCAGAAAGTAGCAAAAAAAAGCGAAAAATGAGCAGACTTGTTTCTCTTTTTCGCGCTTCATACAGTTCTTCATTTGCTTTGTCATAGCAACAAAGCGATTTTTCCTCCAAACACAAAATGATGTCATAGAGCGGTTAAGGAAAAACATCTTTAGAAAATTCATAATATAACGGCATTTTTTCGCTTCAATGCTGCGGCAAGGCGAAAAAGTACGGTTCATCAGGCAAAATACTTTTAGCCTTCTGGAAATCATCTGATGTGCTTTCTATCATAATGTGATTCTGATAATGCATTACCCCTTTTTTCAGTGTATTGCCGCGTTTGCGTTTGGGTCGTACAAGCCACCTACCTACGGCGTGTATCACTATCCACAGTACGCTATCATAATAGGCATTGTGATAGGAGCTCTTCCGTTCCTACTGGTGATCGTCCTGACGTGTTTCGCTGTTAAACGTGCAAAAGGAAAAACGCTATGGGAGGTAAAAAGAAAAAAAAAACTCATTTACTGTAACTTCTGGTAAAAAAGTCGGACGAATAAAACAAATCCATGTAAAAAGTCAACCATGTGTAGAATACTGCAAAACCTCATAACAACGCTTTTACTTCTACTTGCGAACAAGATTGTTATAGTTTAAACGCTTGAAAATAACATACACACATTGCATTTCCTCAAAGTATTGAACAGATATGAAACTCGTATATGGATATCACAAGGGTTGAAAGACGAAATTTATTATAATACGTTTATTCAATGGTGTAGAATGATCACACACTTTCTTAATAGTCATAGTCGTACATAGCACTCCACTGGGACGATGTGATGCCATAGTCGTACATTGTATACCACTGGGACGATGTGATGTCATAGTCGTACATTGTACACCACTGGGACGATGTG